ATAGATTCAGCTATTTTGCCCTCAAGGAAGTACACAATTCAATAACAAAAATAATGTAAAGTAAGTCATATCCTTTTTTTTTTTTTTTTTTTTTTTTTTTTTTTTTTTTAGACAGAGTCTCCTTCACTCATCCAGGCTGGAGGGCAGTGGTACCAACACAGCTTACCGTACCCTTAACCTCTCAGGCTCATTCGATCCTTCCATCTCAGCCTCCTGAGTAGCTGGGACTACTACAGGCATGCTCCACCAGGCTCAGCTAGCTTTTTTGTAGTTTTTGCAGAGATGGAGTTTCTTCATGTAGTCCTGGCTGGTGTTGATCTCCTGAGGTCAAGCAATCATCCCAACTGAGCCTCCCAAAGTTCTGGGCTTACATGCATGAGCCACCCAGCCCCACCTAAATCATATCCCTAAGTAATGATTTTGTTGGAAAGTTTTTTACAAGTAGTACAATGTATTCAAAGTAAATTAGCTCTTCCTAGTGATTTAGAGCAATTGTCAGGCAAACTTTTTCTATAAAGGGCCGGAGAGTAAATATTTTGTGTTTTGTGTCATGCAGTCTCTGTCAAAACTAGTCACTCAGCAATTGCAGTGCAAAAGTGGTCAGAAGCAATACATAAATAAATGATAGGTACCAATCTATCTCAAAAAACTCTAAAAGCACACATTGAATTTTATGTAATTTTATGCACAATCAAATATTAACCTTCTTTTAATTTTTTAAATCATGTAAGTCATGTGAACCATGATTCCTAAACCACAAGCTATACAAAAAGCAGACACAAAAATGGATTAGTTCTACCAGGTACTAAATAGTATAAAACTTCAGTAAATACAAGGCTGTGTTTTACTGATGCATGAACAGAAAGGCGAATTAATGAAATAGAATAGAAAACGAAAAAACACCCACATACATGCATAGAAATTTAATATTTGATAAAGGAGACAATTCAGATTAGTGTGGAAAAGGTGGATTACTCATTCAATGATTGAGTAATCATTGGGATAAACAAGTTCACCTATTAAAAATGCATTTGAGACCAGGCTCAGTGGTTCACACATGTAATCCCAACACTTTGGGAGGCTGAGGAACAAGGATCACTTGAGCCTAGGAGATTGAGATCAGTCTGGGAAAGATGGTGAGATCTTTTCTCTACAAAAATGAAATAAATTAAAAAACTAGACAGGAGAAGTTACGTGCACCTGTAGTCCCAGCTACTTGGGAGGCTGAGGTGGGAAAATAACTTGAGCCCAGAAGTTTGAGGCTGCTGTGAGCTATGATCACACCACTGCACTCCAACCTGGGTGACAGAGTGAGACCCTGTCTCCAAAAAATAAAACAGTAAGAATAGATGTAAAAATATATATGTATAAAATATTAAAAATCCATGTGACCCAGACCTAACAACCAAAATCAAAAGACATCTCAAGAATATCAAATATTTAAATGTTAAAAAACAAGCCCAAACCATACCAGAGGAAACCATTACCAAATACTTTATAGTCATAGAATGAGGAGGGCATTTCTAAGAATGAAACAAAATCCAGAAACAATAAATATAAAAAGATTCATGAATTCATCTCATAGATATTAAAAACTCTACATGGCAAATTCCACCAAAACAATGTAAAAAACAAAGGACACACTGGAAAGAAGTATTTGTGGCTCATTTGACAAACAAAGCACTAATTTTCATAATATATCAAGAGGTGCTACAAATCAATAACAACCTAATGGACAACAGCCTAAATAGACAGGTCACGGAAAGTACAATATCAATTGTCTTTATACATATGAATGAAAAGGCATTGGGAAAGACATATGAGAATCCAACAAGGAGATATTCAGTACCACTTGGAATAAGATAAATGCAATTTTAAACATCACTAAGAAACATTTTTCATCTATCAGACTGACAAAAATTTAAAATATCTGGATTTTGTTCTTGTTTTGAGACAGATTTGCTCTTGTCAGTCAGGCTGGAGTGCAGCCTGATTGTAATTCCAGCACTTTGGGAGGCCAAGGGGGGCTCAGGAGTTTAAAACCAGCACGGACAACTTGGCGAAACCCCGTTTCTCCCAAAAATTCAAAAAAATCAGTCAGGTTTCGTGGCGGGCAACTGTCATCGCAGGTGCTGGGAGACGGGGTTGGGGTGGGAGGATCGCTTGAGCAGGGGAGGCGCAGGTTGCAGTGAGTGGAGCTCGCACCGCTGCACTCCAGCCTAGGTGACAGAGGGAGACCCTGTCTCAAAAAACAAAATAAAACAAACAAAAACCTATAGAGGAGTGAAGCAAATTCTACAATACTAGGCATAAGAATGGCTGGGCGCAGCCAGGCGCGGTAGCTCAGGCCTGTAATCCCAGCACTTTGGGAGGCCGAGGCGGGTGGATCACGAGGTCAGGAGATCGAGACCATCCTGGCTGCAATCTCAGCTTACTGCAACCTCTGTCTCCCGGGTTCAAGCGATTCTCTTGCTTCAGCCTCCCAAGTAATTGGGATTACAGGTGCCCACCACCATGCCCATTTAATTTTTTTATTTTTAGTAGAGAAGGGGTTTCACTATGTTGGCCAGGCTGATTTCAAACCCCTGACCTCAAGTGATCCACCCTCCTCGGGCTCCCAAAGTGCTGGGATCACACCACTGCCCCAAACCAAGATATATTATTAAGTTAAAAAAAACTCAAGGTGCTAAGAGTATATTGTATGATGCCATCTTTATAGAAAAAAAGAAAATAAATTGTGTATATTTATTTATCTGAGAATTAAGGGTACAGAAGAAATTAGAAACAGATTTCCTACAAGAAATGATACTGTATAGCTGAAGGACAGGATTTGGAGGGTATCTTTCTCACTAAAAGCACTTTTTGAATTTTGAACCCAATAAAAATATTATATACTCAAAAAACACAATTTTAAATTCAAATGAAAATGACCTAGCTGATTTTCAATTATTGGTTTACTAAAAAAAAAAGCTTTTTTGTTTGTTTGTTTTTGCTTGTTTGTTTTGTTTTTGAGACGGAGTCTCGCTCTGTCCCCAGGCTGGAGTGCAGTGGCACGATCTCGGCTCACTACAAGCTCCGCCTCCCGGGTTCACGCCATTCTCCTGCCTCAGCCTCCCAAGTAGCTGGGACTATAGCCACCCGCCACCACGTCCGGCTAATTTTTTGTATTTTTAGTAGAGACAGGGTTTCACTGTGTTAGCCAGGATGGTCTTGATCTCCTGACCTCGTGATCCGCCCGCCTTGGCCTCCCAAAGTGCTGTGATTGCAGGCGTGAGCCACCGCGCCCAGCCTTTTGTGTGTTTTTTTTTTAACAGTTTGCTCAAGAAAATGCTTCAGGCCCACATCCTTCATTAAGATCATTCACTGCTTTCAGTCATTAGAAAGCGACAGCTCAGATTCCTTAAATTAAACTGAAGTATATACAGATCTTTATGAGAAAAAATATTTTCTAGAAATTTGTGTAATAAAAACAACTAGCACAGAGCCGTGATTGTCAAGCCTGAAGTTTAAATGGAGTTAGAAATACTGTGGTACTTTTAACAATCATGAGATTCTTCCCTAGGAATGTTTTGGTAAAATTGATGTTGATTATTGTTCAAAGGTCAGGCACATACGTTTATCGTCTTTTTTTTCTTTTTGAGATGGAGTCTCGCTCTGTCACCCAGCCTGGAGTGCGCTATGGGAACTCAGCTCACTGCAATCTCCGCCTCCCGGGTTCCAACCATTCTACTGCCTCAGCCTCCCGAGTAGCTGGGATTACAGTCATGTGCCACCACACCTGCCTAATTTTTGTATTTTTAGTAGAGACGGGGTTTGACTATGTTGGCCAGGTTGGTGTCAAACACTTAACCTAGGTAATCCACCCACCTTGGCCTCCCAAAGTGCCAGAATTACTGGCATGAGCCACAGGGCCCAGCCATTCTATTTTTTTTTGAGACGGAGTCTGGCTCTGTTGCCCAGGCTGGAGTGCAGTGGCACATCTTGGCTCACTGCAAGCTCTGCCTCCAGGGTTCATGCCATTCTCCTGCCTCAGCCTCCCAAGTAGCTGGGACTACGGGCACCCGCCACCAGGCCTGGCTAATTTTTTGAATTTTTACTAGAGACGGGGTTTCACCGTGTCAGCCAGGATGGTCTCGATCTCCTGACCTCGTGATCCACCCGCCTCGGCCTCCCAAAGTGCTGGGATTACAGGCCTGAGCCACCCCGCCCGGCCAACCTTTCTAACTTGTATTTGGTAACTGGCCTTCTAAAAACCATGTAATTAGCAAATCTTGTGGGCTTCAAAATAGATTCCAAATTCAACCATTTCCTAACTCTACCACTCCACTCTGGGGTCCAAGTCACCATCGTCACTCTCCTAGAGTACTGCAATTGCCTCATTATAAGATACAGACTGCTGGAGAAACGGCAAATTTGAAGAGGAAGAGTTCTACTGAGGACAGTTTTAGCATGCCATAATTCTGGCTACAGAAAGATGTAGATTCCGCAATCGGATAAAGTTCTTCAATGGAAATTCAGGAAGCCTTCCTAGTCAATTTAATTCATGGCTTGAGGGACTTCGGAATCCTTAGCTCCCTGAAAATCACCCCGTCCACTCTCACCCCACCCACAAACTTGGGCAATCAGGGACAATGCTGGCTACCTCATATTCACCAGCTTCCCTGGTTGTCTACTTCACCAGGTAGTTGGGGTGGGAACACTTTCCATCTCTATCTGGACCCTTCCTCCCACCTTTCCGTTCTCCCCATTTGTCTGCACTTCAAGGTCCAGGAAAACCCTGGGGATCCTAGGAGGGTCCCTTTTCAGCAGCCTCCGTTTTCACTCAACTCAGAGAAGCCTAACCAGGCTCCAGGCCTGAGAGGAGCAGTTCCTGAAAGCCCTGACTTTCGTACCCGGCTCCTTCCCTGGGCTGGGCCTCCCCAGACCTCAGCACTTGTCCAGAGAATCCCCTTCAGGACTGAATAGTTCATCCTAAGGAAAGAGGACAGCACATAGAAGGCTTTGCATCATAGGTAGCTTATTTTATTGGATTGCTTTACCAATAACACTTCTTGCATTCAGGAGATTTGCCTCAGACACATGCCTAGAAGGCCTGAGAGGGGCAGGTCTGGCCACAGATTCAAACTTTCTTCATTGTTTTTCATGTCTTTCTCAGCAAAAGTGAAGCCAAGACTTCTCCTCTCATCCCCGCTTCCCAGGGGAGATCAGTCTCCGGTGTAGGGTGGCAGGCTAATGGAGGCGACCAGGTCGTCGTTGGTCAGGGGCTGGCTTCGGACACGCTCGAGCATCTTCAGACCTGCAAAAGAATTGCCTGGGGCTGATGAACCACAGTCCATTACTGGGGCTCTTGGTAGGCCCGGACTCCACCAGGAAGGTTCCAGGAAGGATGTCACCCCAGCCCAGGTCTTCCAAGGTAACTCATTTACTATTCCCTGCTACCCTTTCCTCTCTGAGCAATCGCATGCCACAAAAATGAGCCCTTCCCTTCCCAATGGATTCTGGGAAGAGCACCTGGATTCCCCGGCCACACAAGGGATTCTTCACGAATCCAAGATGCCACACAACACAGCCAGAACTCCACCATCAAGCCCTCCCCTCCACAGTTCAGCCAAGGATACCTACCTTGAGCGTGACACTTGGAGTAGTGGCTCCCCACGGAACGGAACATGAGCAGCAGCCACTGCTTTGCCATTGGTGGTCCGACTACGGTCACACGAGTCTGGCCTGTAGCTGTAAAACAACTCTCCAGCTGAATAAGGGTGTGGCTGTGCAGCTCAATGCAGCGAAGGTATGTGTCATCAAGTCCTGGAAGCACAAGAGGTGAGAAGAGGAACTGTCAGCCACCAGTCCTTGGGGGATGGGGAAGTGGCCTTGAGGGTAGGGATGTGTGACTCATGAAGGTGGGAGGAGAGGGGAAGATAGAAAACCGAGAAGGGGATGAAGGAGGCCGGCCTGGCGCAGTGACTCATGCCTGTAATCCCAGCACTTTGGGAGGTGGAGGCAGGTAGATCACTTGAGGTCAGGAGTTCCACACACGCCTGGCTGACACGGCGAAACCCGTCTCTACTAAAAATACGAAAAATTAGCCAGGCGTGCTGTCGGGCGCCTGTAGTCCCAGCTACTCGGGAGGCTGAGGCAGGAGAATGGCGTGAACCCGGGAGGCGGAGCTTGCAGTGAGCCGAGAGGGCGCCATTGCATTCCAGCCTGGGCGACAGAGCGAGACTCCATCTCATCTCAAAAAAAAAAAAAAAAAAAAAAAAACTAGGCCGGGAGCCGTGGCTCACGCTTGTAATCCCAGCACTTTGGGAGGCCAAGGCGGGCAGATCACGAGGTCAGGAGACCGAGACCATCCTGGCTAACATGGTGAAACCCCATCTCTACTAAAAATACAAAAAATTAGCCAGGTGAGGTGGTGGCGCCTGTAGTCCCAACTACTCGGAAGGCTGAGGCAGGAGAATGGGGAGAACCCGGGAGGCGGAGCTTGCAGTGAGCCGTCATGGCGCCACTGCACTACAGCCTGGGCGACAGAGCGAGACTGTCTCAAAACAAACAAAAAATACAAAAACTAGTTAGGCATGGTGGCAGGAGCCTGTAGTCCCAGGTACTCTGCAGGCTGAAGCATGAGAATCACTTCAACCCAAAAGGCAGACGTTGCAGTGAGCCAAGATCACGAGCGAGAATCTGTCTCAAAAAAATAAAAACAAACAGATGAAGGAGGGGACGTCGGCAAAGGCCACTCACCGAAGATGAGCTCCTCCTGGTCCTCTTCCATGTGGAACACAATTGGAGCATGAAAGTTTTCGGGTAGGGTCCACCACGGCTCCTTGCTGAGAGCACCTGTTCCCATGTCCATGCTCTGCTCCCACCTGATTCAGAATAGGGGAAAGTCTAAGAAACTGGTTGGCAAAAGACTTGGAAAAGCGAGGAAGGGCCTAGGCTCTATGCTTAATAAGGAATTCAAACAACCCGCCCCTTGATCCACCTTAGGGTGGCTGTCCAATCCCCGCAGGTCTTCCCAAGATAATTCATTCCAAGTAATTATCTGCTCTGAGCTTAATCCTTTCAAGTCAGACTTAATCATCTGATAAGTGCTTGGCTTTCTGATGCCCTGGAATCAGGAGTTTTTCTTCGCTCTAAATTCTAACGATTTTGGAGCATGCCTACTGGCATGAACCAGGGCAGGGGCTCAGGGTATGGAGGTGCAGGAAGCCTCCAAATGGGCTCCGTAGATTTGCACAGGTGTCGGCAGCCACCCAATGACCACACAGTGTATTCCAACACGACTGGGTTTATTTGGTGTGTTGCATCAAGGGAGAGCAAACAACACAGGAAAATAAACTTGATAGGATGGTGTCATAGGAGCCCATTGTAGGAGTTGACTAGGGCAGTCTAAGGCGTGTTTAAGGAGTAGGAGCTAGTTCTCTAAAATGGGGCAATTTGGTAATTATGCTGGTAAATTTATCTAGGAAGTTGAGAGACTAATGTGGTCTTCATTGCTGAATGTTATCTCTGGTTTCAAATATAGTTACAGAATGTACTTTTTTTTCTTTCTTTCTTTCTTTTTTAAAGGGAGTCTCACTCTGTCGCCCAGGCAGGAGTGCAGTGGCGCAATCTCGGCTCCCTGCAAGCTCCACCTCCCGGGTTCATGACATTCTCCTGCCTCAGCCTCCCAAGTAGCTGGGACTACAGGCGCCCACCACCACGCCCGGCTAATCTTTTGTAATTTTTTTGGTAGAGACTGGGTTTCACCATGTCAGCCAGGATGGTGTCGATCTCCTGACTTCGTGATCTCCCCGCCTCGGCCTCCCTAAGTGCTGGGATTACAGGCATGAGTCACCATGCCCGGCCGAGCTGTCGTAGAATGCCAGAATAGACTTTCTACATCTCGTTGAGTGACAATCACTGAGCAATCTTGAGTATTTAACATATTTTGCGGCCGGGTGCGGTGGCTCATGCCTGTAATCCCAGGAGTTTGGGAGATTGAGGTGGGCAGATCAGGAGGGCAGGAGTTCCAGACCAGCCTGACCAACATGCTGAAACCCTGTCTCTACTAAAAATACAAAAAATTAGCCGGGGCATGGTGGCACACGCCTGTAACCCCAGGTACTCAGGAGGCTGAGGCAGGAGAATCACTTGAACCCAGCGGGGGAGGTTGCAGTGAGCTGAGATCACGCCACTGCACTCCAGCCCGGGCGACAGAGCATGACTCTGTCTCAAAAAAAAATAAAATAAAAAAATAAAAATAAAATAAATTAAAAAAATAAAAAAAATAAAATTGCAGGAGACGTTCATGTTTGGTAGGGAAGATTCAGCTTGGCCTGTCAGCTTCCCACTGCAAGTTTTTGGGTGATTTTTCAGTTTTCAGCCTCCCCTTTTACCAAAGACAAAGTCAGCCATTAGGAGTTTTATCTATGAGGTTCAGATCTATACCACTATCAGAATCCACAGATCACAAGGTTTTCGGGAGAATGTTCTCTGCATCCGCAAACATTTGGTCTTTCATATACATTTTGTTACAAAATATACATAGTGAAAATATAATGACTGCACAGTAGCATTTAAGTAGCATTTAAGACTGAAGAGGAGGCCGGGCGCGGTGGCTCACGCCTGTAATCCCTGCACTTTGGGAGGCCGAGGCGGGCGGATCACGAGGTCAGTAGATCGAGACCATCCTGGCTAACACGGTGAAACCCCGTCTCTACTAAAATACAAAAAGTTAGCCGGGCGCGGTGGCGGGCGCCTGTAGTCCCAGCTACTCCAGAGGCTGAGGCAGGAGAATGGCGCGAACCCGGGAGGGGGAGCTTGCAGTGAGCGGAGATGGTGCCACTGCACTCCAGCCTGGGCAACAGAGTGAAGACTCCGCCTCAAAAAAAAAAAAAAAAAAAAAAGACTGAAGAGGAGGCTCACGCCTGTAATCCCACACTTTGGGAGGCCAAGGCGGGTGGATCACCTGAGGTCAGGAGTTCAAGGCCAGCCTGATAGTCAACATGGTGAAACCCCATCTCTACTAAAAATACAAAAATTACCTTGGCATGGTGGCGGGCACCTGTAATCCTAGCTACTCAGGAGGCTGAGGCAAGAGAATCGCTTGAACCCAGGAGGCACAGGTTGCAGTGAGCTGAGATCACACCATAGCACTCCAGCCTAGAGGGCAAGAGCAAAATTCCGTCTCAAAAAAAAAAGACTGAACAGAATGTACTAGTCAAATACAGGTATTTACTGAAACAAAATGATTATTAATCCTAGTAATACGTTGCAAAGACAAAGGACGATTTCAAAACCAGACCATGAAATCATGTCCCAACTCCATCTGAATCTGTTCTAGAGAGACAGATAGTCTTTTAACCTTGCCACAAAACTGTTCTGCCTGAACAGTAATGTTTTAGGAAGGTGCTGCAAACAGCATTTGCTATCAAACAAAAGCTGTCCTTGGCTGGCCAGGAAGAAACCAAAAACTATGAAATCATTCAAAACCACCATGAAACTTTAATTTAAACTAGGTTACTGGACCTCCAGAAAAGAAGTAGTGTCATCTATTGATTTCTGCTGGGACCAGAGACACATTTTGGATCACTTTTTTCTAGTCATATTATTCCTATTACTAGAATTGGAGCTCCCAGAGTATAGATGAAGAGGGAGTCGGTCATCTCTCCTGGAAGGTCTCCTGAATAGTCCATACTTGCCTCATTTTAGGTTTGGGTACCTTTCTCAGAGAAACATCATTTCCTATAGGAGTAGATGTTTAAAATATTGAAAAATATTATTAATGTAATAGTCTAAAACTCACTCCACATTACACTAGATAAGTTTGTATAATGATCGGGGACCTGATATTCACATAAAAAGTAGTGATTTAGTGCTGCACAAACTGAAAGGGGTATGGGGTGTATAAGTGTCATTTATCACAGTGAGAGCAGGACAACTAATTCTTCAACATGTGAACATTGCTTGAGTGGAGGCTGAGGAGTCACTGAAGATTAAGGACTAACACTGCAAGGAGAGACTCAATACATTATTGCAATAATGTCAGCAGACATATTTTGTTGTTTGAGGTCATCCTGTGAGCCAGGATTTTGCTACCAGCCCAGGCAACAAAGTGAGACTTCATCTTTACTAAAACCTGAAAGCAATAACTGGGTGAGGTGATGCGCACCTGTAGTCCTAACTTATCCAGAGACTAAGGTGGGTGGACCACCTGAGCCCAGGAGTTTGAGCTAGAATCACACCACCACACTCCAGGCTGGGTGACATAGCAAGATTCTGTCTCTTAAAAGAAAAATTTTAAGCTAAATAAAAATTGAAAAAACAATAGCTATAGTTGAGAAAAAAATAAGAAAGTTTTCCCTTTCCTTAGGTGGCAGGGAAAATGCTCTACTATAGAAAATTGAGGCCAGACATGATGGCTCATGCCTGTAATCCCAGCACTTTGGATGCCAAGGCAGGTGGATGACTTGAGGTCAGGAGTTTGAGACCAGCCTGGCCAACATGGTGACACCCTGTCTCCACTAAAAATACAAAAATTAGCCAGGCATGGTGACATAAGCCTGTAATCCCAGCTACTTGAGGGACTGAGGCAGGAGAATCACTTGAACCAGGGAGACACAGAGATTGCAGTGAGCTGAGGTTGCGCCACTGCACTCCAGTTTGGGTGACAAGAGCAAAAAAACTTTGCCTCAAAAAACAAAAAAAGAAGATCAAGATAAACTGTCATTCGTCATTTGTGAAAGAATCCTTTTCTTTGAGACAGAGTCTCACTCTGTTGCCCAGGCTGGAGTGCATTCGTCCGATCTCATCTCACTGCCTCAGCCTGCTAAGTAGTTGAGATTACAGGTGGGTGACACCACGCCCAGCTAATTTCTGCATTTTTGTATTTTTAGTAGAGACAGAGTTTCACCATGATGACCAGGCTGGTCTCAGACTCAAGGCTTCAAGTATTCTGCCTGCCTGGTCCTCCCAAAGTGCTAGGATTACAGGCATGAGCCATCTCACCAGGCCAAGTTTGTGAAAGAATCTTAAAAACTTTTGGTTGCCCTCTAGGCAATGCTTTTTTTTTTTTTTTTTTTTTTTTTTGAGACAGAGTCTCGCTGTGTCGCCCAGGCTGGAGTGCAGTGGCTGGATCTCAGCTCACTGCAAGCTCTGCCTCCCGGGTTTTTACGCCATTCTCCTGCCTCAGCCTCCCGAGTAGCCGGGACTACAGGCGCCCGCCACCTCGCCCGGCTAGTTTTTTGTATTTTTTAGTAGAGACGGGGTTTCACCGTGTTAGCCAGGATGGTCTCGAACTCCTGACCTCGTGATCCGCCCGTCTTGGCCTCCCAAAGTGCTGGGATTACAGGCTTGAGCCACCGCGCCCGGCCTAGGCAATGCTTAAGCACAATGCTAAGTACAGCAAAAGTTTAAAAAGAGGGCAAAGATATCAGAACCTGTATCCTATTTTACTGTCTTGGATGGACGTATCTACTTGGAGTCATCAAAGCTTGATCTGAAGACATTGGTTTGGTCATCTTCTTCCAAAAATCGTTGTTCTGGAAGATACTTAAGAATTCTCAGTTTACGGTTTCTTGATGATCTCCTTTTTATTAAGGCCAACAGTAGTTTTTCCTCTGATTTTGAGATGTTTAGTCTTTTCCAAAAGACGCAGTCTTCAGATTTCTAGTCATGCAAAACTATTAGGTGGATATTTGGGGAAGATTATTGTTATCTATTAAAAGCTAGACACATCAAATGAATCCTTTGTAGTATTTAGACATGTGAGCTTGCAATATGGCAGAATACAGGTTCAGAAGTGAATTCCTGGCCGGGTGCGGTGGCTCACGCCTGTAATCCCAGCACTTTTGGAGGCCGAGGCGGGCAGATCACCTGAGATCAGGAGTTCAAGACCAGCCCGACTAACATGGGGAAACACTATCTCTACTAAAAATACAAAATTAGCTGGGCATGGAACCGCATGCCTGTAATCCCAGCTACTTGGGAGGCTGAGGCAGGAGAATTGCTTGAACCCAGGAGGCAGAGGTTGCGTTGAGCTGAGATCGCGCCATTGCACTCCAGCCTGGGCAACAAGGGCAAAACTCCATCTCAAAAAAAACGAAAAACAAACAAACAAAAAAAACAGAAGTGAATTCCTTAATGTATGGAGTAGCCTATGGATTCCCGGAGGAGTTGATGTCATTGTCTTCAAGGCTAACAGCAATTCCCAAGCCACCAAGCCATGGAAGTTTAAGTCTTAGACAGCATTCTCAAATTTAGTTTTATAGAATTCATTTTCTTTCTCTCTAATTGTTCTTTTTTTTTTTTTTTTCCTGAGGCTAAGTTTAGTTCTTGTTACCCAGGCAGGATTGCCATGGTGAGGTGGTCTCAGCTCGCTGCAACCTCCACCCCCCAGGTTCAAGCAATTCTCCAGCCTCAGCCTCCTGAGTAGCTGGGATTACAGGCAGAAGCCACTACACCTGGCTAATTTTTTTGTATTTTTAGTAGAGATGGGGTTTCACCATGTTGACCAGGCTGGTCTCAAACTCCTGACCTCAGGTGATCCACCCGCCTCGGCCCCTCAAAGTGCTGAG